GGGCTCAGGCAATCCACTCACCTCAGCCTCCCAAAGGCGCGGGATTACAGGCTGAGCCACCGAGCCCGGCTAAGTGTCTACATTTTTATACATGTCTGACAGAAAGCAATCTAGTGCCATTAGCTGAGTCCACATGGTTGGAAACTTTCTAAACTTTCTTTTGTATATTAAGTGTTTATACCTAAGGACTTCAGCAATAGTAGGTGCTCAAAAAAATGCATATTGAATTTGGACTCTGGATGGTTTTTGCAGGACTGAATCAGCTGCTGTGGGCCTTGGACTTCCCAAGTCCAGGGTATGTGTGTGACTATGGTATGGGCCATAGAACCCAGATAGAACTTCCAGAGAAGACTCTAAGAGGGAAGCGTCAAAAAGATTGTGTCAGACAGTGTTTTAGTCTATTTAGGCTCTTATAACAGAGTATCATAGACTGGGTGACTTACAAACAACAGAAATTTATTTCTCACAGTTCCCGAGGCTGAGTAGTCCGAGATGAAGTTGCCTGCAGATTCAGTGTCTGGTGGGGGTCCACTTTCTGATTCATAACTGGTGTTTTCTCACTGCGTTCTCACGTAGTGGAAGGGGTGAGGAACTTCTCTGGGGTATCTTTTGCAAGGACACTAATCCCATTCATGAGAGCTCTGCCTTTATGCCTAGTTACCACCCCCCCAAGGCCCCCACTTCCAAATATCATCACACTGGGATTTGAACATATGAATTTTACTAGGACACAAACATTCAGTCTATTGCAGACAACTAGCAGTTGGACAGTCAAGACACACAAATGTTCCTTGCAAGAAAAAAAAAAAACTGTATGGAACTAGAGATGCTTTATATGTTGAGGAGAGAGATTGGCCTATTAGAAGGGAGATCAGGGAATTCCACTGTGGAGTAGGAATTCTATGTCAACGTCACATGCACTGCCCAGAGGAAGTCTCACCGTCTCATAATGACCCACTGCTCCTATAGCTTTCATTGCCCTTTGGTAGAAACCCCAGAGACCCTTAAGGTAATCTCATCCCTATTCTGATGCTGAGGCTCTGTCTAGGGTAAGAGTTTGCAGAGTCTTAGGTGAGCCCAAGTCAACCCATTCGGGACCAATCTGGATTTTGGTTCCATCCCAACTCTTTGTCCTGGTCCCCATGCCTGAGCTCTTACCTTCAGTTCAAGCACCAGATGCATTTCTTCAAATCTGACTGCAGAGGACTGTGGCTTCGCTGGGAAGTTTACAATTATAGTCACATATTGCATAATCGTGTTTCAGTCAATGACAGACCACATATACAACAGTGGTCCCATAAGATTATAATACCATATTTTTATTGCGCCTTTTCTATGTTTAGATACACAAATACTTAACAGTGTGTTACAGTTGCCTACAGCATTCAGTACAGTAACATGCTGTCCAAGTTTGTAGCCTAGGAGCAATAGGACACACCATACAGCTTAGGTGTGTAGTAGGTGATACCATCTAGGTTTGTGTGAGTGCACTCCATGATGTTTGCACAACAATAAAATTGCCTAGTGGCACATTTCACAGAACATATCCCTATCATTAAGTGACACATGACTGTTTATGGGACTGGTCAATAAGAGGCTAAATGATTCATCTTTGCCTCTAAAGGCTTCAGGTTGAGGGAGTGTCCTGACTCTGTGTCTCAACAGGTATTCGATGCAGGGCAGAAGATGACTTTCTTGTCAGCAGAATACTTGAATGAACCTTTCCGAACCCAAAGAGCGATGAGTATTGTCAGTAATATAACCTCTGTACTCGAAGGTAAGTGCTGCTCATTGGAATGTCCACCTACTGTGCCATGATGAGCTCCTTGTGTTAGGAGCAGAGGGAATGCCCCTAACCTGTATCAAAGGGCCCATCTCTGTGTTCAGGGACATAAAAATTTCTGTCTTATGACCTAGGCCCTGTCATCTTTACCTATGTGGTTTTTTTTTTTATGTACACAGTTTTTCAAAAATGAAAGAATCCAATGAATAAAATATCTTAGCTCATCTCTTGTTCAAGCTAGCAACTGCTTCATATGTCTTCACAAAACTATATTTTTTAAAGTGATGTGGCAGCCACCAGAGGGTTTCAGGTCAGCTCTTAGGTGTGTAAGAAATTTAACCATCTTTGATTTTCTAACATGGTAAAATTATCCTAACATTTTTCCCGGTCATAATTTGCACGGTTATAACTTAATTTCTGTCTCAAATCCCTGTTATGTCAAATATTGGAAGACGGTTTAAGTCAATTTAACTAAATTCTTGTCACTTAAGAGTTTTGCCAACCCAGTGGGAATCTACTCAATCTTCCCAGGGATGTGTGTAAGTTCCAAGCCAAGAGATAGAGGAAGAGAATGGCAGTGGGTCATGGCCACCTGTCCATACAAGTTCCCACAGAGCATGACTATATCCTCTTCACTCTGAGCAGGAGGCCTTCTCTAATCCAGCCTTTATCTTGGAGATGATGGACCTTAGTCATACTCAGTTGCCTGTCTCCCCTAGACAAATTAAATTGTCCTGGGCTGGAGGAGGAACAAGGAGCTTGTATGTCAATGTGTTCCTGAGAAGGGATCCTGTGTGATTTTCTCCCAGTCCCAGGCTGATCCTGATTTGAGAGGAGGGTGTGGTGAGCAATAGAAATAAAAAAATATTGGTACTTGAAAACAGAGTCAATCTGTATCCTACTTTCTTTTTTTTTTTAGTTGGAGTCTCACTCTGTCACCCAGGCTGGAGTGCAGTGGCACGCTCACAGCCACCACAGCCTTGACCTGCTGGGCTCAAGCAATCATTCCAATTCAGCCTTCTAAGCAGCTGGAAATACAGGCGTGTGCCACACACCCAGCTAATTTTTTGATTTGTTGTAGAGACGAGGTCTCACCATGCTGCCCAAACTGGCCTCAAATCTGTGGGCTGAGGCAATCCTCTCACCTCCGCCTCCCAAAGTGCTGGGATTATAGGCATGAGCCACTGTGCCCAGCTGTACCTTACTTTCTAGGTGACACTATAGGTGGAAAGCCTTAGAGAGACTGACATGCCCAGCATGGCACAGAAACAGTAGAACTGGCCTGGGTAGAGAAGACCTGAGACAGCCTTAGAGAGTACCCTGTGGCTCCAGAATGGCAGGAGAGTAGCTGAATGATGACTTTGCCCCAATGAAGGCTATGGAAGGAGATGAGTGAGAGCCACACTGGGAATCTAGAGAGGCAAAGAGAGAAGCGCAGTCTTCATGGACTCCCCCTCCAGGGGCCAGATGAGAGTTATAATTCAAGTAAAATATGCTTAGCATTGACTAAGACCAGCTAAACCATCCACTGGGCTTGAGTCCCACAATACTCAGACACAGCCTCAGATAATGAAATAGTGTCAAACATTGAATTAGCAAAATAAAGTCCCCATGTTGGGAGCTTGAAGCATAAATTGAATACAAATATAGAGGGAACAAACACCTTTAAGTTGCATTTCATGTTTTCCTGAGTTTGTATTTTGAGAAATGTGTACCCATGCATCAGCAACAGTGTGTACAGACTCTCTTATATTATTTTTCTTCATTGTTAATTATCTAACAATCACTTTTCATTGCGATAGTGTCTTCACTCCTAACATTTTTCACGACTGCATAGAATTTCACCAAGCTGCTATGCCCACAATTTTTTATTGTTGTTGTTGGCCAGGTGGGCTTCTTAGATTTTATTGATTTATTTACTTTTTTGCATTACATACAAACAGTTTGCTTCTTGATTCCAAAATGGTTAAGCTTCTTCCTTCCCTTTTGTGCCATCCATTCACTAATCAACAAACATTGCTGAGTACCTGTTATGGGATTCAGTGGTGAATTTGATATGAACCTGCTGTCATGTCTACATCCTAGTGTGCAAGGAGACACAGATAATAAACACAAATAGATGTGCAGCTAGTGATAGGAAGTAGGAAAAATAATAAAGTGAGGAAGGAGATGGAAATCAGGGGGTTGCAGAAGGAGTTCTTTTAGATAAGGGGGTAATATAGCTGGAACATAGAGAAGAGCTCAAAACAAAGGTAGACAAACGAGCTGGGGCCACATCCAAAGAACCTCCTAGACCACATTAAGGATATAGAACTTCATCCTAAGAGGAGTAAGGTACCATTAAAGGATTAGAGGCAGGAGAGCTACATTTTCGTTTTATAAAGACTACACAATATTTGAAGAGAGTGGAATTAAGAGGGGAAGCATGTTGGCAAGGAAACCAGTTAGGAGTAAACAGGTGGGAGATGACAGTGTTTGGACTCTGAGACAGTGGCAGTGGAGATGATGGGAAATGGAAGGATTTGAGAGTTATCTAAGGGGCCTGAGGTCAAGACTTCATGGTGCATATGTTTCTGGTATAAGCAATCAAAGGGATGCTGGTGCAACGTGTCATACAGGGAGAACTTTAGGGGGAAAATGGGCTTCACTGGGGAAAGATGAAAGGAGAAGATCATGAGTTGAGTTTGGGACATACTGGATTTTAGATGCCCTTAGAACATCCAAGTAGGGGTGTCCAGTAGGAAGTTGGCTTTTGGATAAATGTGTCTAGAATTTAGATGACAAAGATGGCCTAGAGATATGTATTTGAAAGTCATTTGAATATAGATGATAATTTTGAAAAGGTACAAGTGGGTAAGATGACATTGAAGGGATTAAGTAAGAAGAGAAGAAGGCCTGGAACAGAGTTTTATAAGAAACTCCAATGTTTAATGGTTGAGCAGCAGAGATGGAGGCTGTAGAGAAGACTGAGAAAGAATGTGTAGAAATAGGAGAAGACGCCAAACAATATAATGCAGAGCCAAGAGTCTTCAGGAAGAGTAGAAAGGCCAACAGAGACAATGTTATAGAAAAGGTCGGTAAAATGAAACTTGAAAAGGGTCCAGGGTCTTTAGTCACATGGATGGTTTTGGTGATACGAGCAAAAGAGAACTGGCGGAGTTGGATAGTAGGCCATATTGAAGGGGCTTGTGTGATGAATGAGAGGTAAAGAAGAGGTTATTGTGTATAGACAACTTTTTCAAGAAGTTTTCCTGCAAGAGGGAGAAAATAGAGTTGAAGTAAGTAGAGTTGAAAGAAGATGCTTTAGGTTCTAGGGTTTTTTGTTGTTGCTGTTGTTTGTTTGCTTTTGCTTTGCTTTGAACATGTTTTCATGCTAACAAGAAGGATTTGGGGCAATGGAAATGGGAGAGAATGAAGAATAAGGAAAGAGAGTAAATGCCCAAAAGATTCTTGAAGTGGCAGAAGAGGGTGCATAAGTGGAGACATTGATTGTTTTGTGTTTTTTGTTTGTTTGTTTTGAGTTGGAGTCTCACTCTGTCGCCCAGCCTGGAGTGCAGTAGCCACTCCTGGCCACTGCAGCCTCAACCTGCTGGGCTCCAGCGATCCTTTTGCCTCCGCCTTCCAAGTAGCTGGAACTACAGGTGTGCGCTACCATGTCTGGCTAATTTTTGATTTATTGTAGAGATGAGGTCTCGCCAAGTTCCCCAAGCGGGTCTCGAACCCATGGGCTCAGGCAATCCACTCACCTCAGCCTCCCAAAGGCGCGAGATTACAGGCTGAGCCACCGAGCCCGGCTTGGATCAATTTTTTAAAAGAGATTATTCGAGGGGGGATTGCTAGTTTTAAGCTAGCAATCATATAATACTTTTAACCTCTCTATTGCCCAGTCAACAAGATTGGCAATGTTAAGGCTACTTATAAACTGCATCACGTTCCTATCATGCCTCACAGACAGGTTGCTTCCTACCAAAATGGTATGTCCTCAAGCTTCCTGATTCTGTACTACCTCTTGTGCTTATTTTTAGTGTCAAAATAGGTCCAGGGATGCTCTTGCCTTTGTTCCAACTAGGGATCATTGATTTTGTTCCTAGGATGTGCCAACTTCTTTAGAGAGCTCTGCTTTGCCAATTTTGACATCTGTAGTTTCCAAAATCTACAGCAAATAATTAAAGCAGTATGAGGTGGAAATAAATAGTCTGATTTATGGAAAGAAATTGACATATGTATATGAAAATATATGAACAAATATGAAATAAGTTATGACAAAAATGGCATTTCAAATCCTTGGGAAAATAAAGAATTATTCAATAAATAATACTGATATAAATAACCAGAGATTTTTAAAAAATGAACTGAACCAATATCTTACTCTTTACCCAAAATAAACTTCAAATGCACCAAAGTTTTAAGTGAAAAAAAAATGAAACTAGAAGCCGGGCTCAGTGGCTCAGCCTGTAATCCCGCGCCTTTGGGAGGCTGAGGTGAGTGGATTGCCTGAATCCGCGGGTTCGAGACCCGCCTGGGCAGGGAGACCTCATCTCTACAATAAATCAAAAAATCAGCCGGGCGTGGTAGCGCATGCCTGTA